ATAACAATGCGCAATAACAAATCTAGTCAAGTTAAGATGAAGTTTTATCATGATTTGAGTCCATTTCACCTGAAAAGTGAAATTATCTGCTAATGGAACAAGACTTTTTGTACTTAAAATATGAAAATACATCTTGCTGCACTTAAATTAAGATAAACAACAACTTTTTGCACTTAAAATAAGAAACAAAATAGAATATTGCTTCTTGAATTAAGAAAAACACACTTAGATTGGTAGATAATTTTACTTGTCAAGCTAATTCTATTCAAATAAAGTAAAATATTTGAAGAAAAATAAATAATTTTAGTCATTTTATCTTACCTAGACATTGTTTTTTTTTTTCAGTGTATGCAAAGAATTTAAAAAAAGAAAGAAAAAGGAATAGGCTAGTGCAAAAACAAATCAAAACCAAACTATGAAAACACAAAGAAACGTATTAAACAAGAAAAAAAAATATTATTAAAGTTGCCTAATACATAATTTATTACAGACATTTACTTGTTTTTATTGCTTTCTGTTATCTGATGTGACAATTGACCTTAGATACATCAAAATGTGTTTAAAAATGCTTAAAAGATTGGTTTAACTTTCTAAAATTTCGCTTAATGAATGCGTAACTTTTGCGTAATTACGCGTACGCAGAGGAGACGTTCTGGATTGGCACAGCAGCCGCTTATTTTCGCTCAGAGAAGTAAAGTAGAGGGGATTAAGTGTTTTTTGAAGCGCTCACCTTTTATTTAAACAAATCATTCACTCCAGCTCCTAAAAGGAATTTGACACACATGAACCAGGATTGGGGCTCTAAACCCTCAACCCTAAACCCATCCCCCCGCGCGCGCCGCCGCCGCCGGAGCCAGGGCGCAGTCACTCTCCCCTCTATTACTTTGACACCGTATACAATCAGCCCTCATGATTGTTAACAAATGTACTACACCGAGGTGACATGTCCCTCAAAGAGCTTCGTAATACCCCGACAAACCTCCTCTGTCTTCTGTCTCTGTCGATACTGCGGAACTTTGACGATTAAAAGTGTAATTCCAGAGTCCGGACTTTTGAGTTTTTACACTTTAACCTGTTTTATCTCTCTTTCTCTTAATACTTCCAGTGTTGGGGAGTAACAGATTACATGTACCGGAGTTACGTAATCAGAGTACAAATTATGAGTAACTGTATTCAGTTACAGTTACTGTTTCAGTGAGTGGTAATTGGATTACAGTTACTTTGTTGAAATTAATGGATTACATGGTGATATTTTCCTGTTTTCACATTTTGGGCTAAACCAGGACTAAATCCAGGTCTAAACCAGGTCTAAACCAGGACTAAACCAGGACTAAACCAGGACTAAACCAGGACTAAACCAGGTCAAACCCAGGAATAAACCAGGACTAAACCAGGTCTAAACCAGGAATAAACCAGGTCTAAACCAGGACTAAACCAGGACAAACCAGGACTAAACCAGGACTAAACCAGACTAAACCAGGTCAAACCCAAGAACAAACCAGGACTAAACCAGGACTAAATAGGACTAAACCAGGTCTAAACCAGGACTAAACCAGGAACTAAACCAGGTCAAACTAAACCAGGTCTAAACCAGGACTAAACCAGGTCTAAACAGGTCAAAAGGACTAAACCAGGTCTAAACCAGGTCAACAAACCAGGTAAACAAGACTAAACAGGTCAAACCAAGAAAACCAGTCTAAACCAGGTCTAAACCAGCACTAAACCAGACTAAACCAGGTCAAACCCAGGTCTAACCAGGTCTAAACCAGGACTAAACCAGGTCTAAACCAGGTCAAACCAGGTAAACTAAACCAGGACTAAACCAGGACTAAACCAGGTCTAAACCAGGACTAAACCAGGTCTACCAGGACTAAACCAGGACTAAACCAGGTAAACCAGGTCTAAGGTAAACCAGGAAACTAAACAGGTCTAAACCAGGTAAACCAGTAAACCAGTTAAAGGTCTAAACCAGGTCAAACCCAGACTAACCACTAAACCAGGTCTAAACCAGGTCTAAACCAGGACTAAACCAGGTCTAAACCAGGTCTAAACCAGGAAACCAGACTAAACCAGGACTAAACAGGACTAAACCAGGTCTATCAAACTAAACCAGGACTAAAACTAAACCAGGTCAAACCCAGGAATAAACCAGGTCTAAACCAGGACTAAAACAGGATTTAACAGACTAAAATTCATGCTCGTCGAACCGTGTCTCCTCCTCTTCTCTACAGCAAATGAAGTAATCCAAAGTATTCAGATTACATTACTCACTTTAAGTAATTTAATGGATTACGTTACAAACTACATTTTGGGGTATGTAATCTGTAATCTGTAGAGGAATACATTTTAAAAGTCACCTTCCCAACACTGGATAGTTCATGTCTACTAAGGTTTTAGACTGATTTTATTGATCCACAAGGGAAATAATTTGGACACAGTCGCTCACACATCACAAAATAATATAATAATAAAGAACAATAATACAAAAGGTAAGATTAAATTCTAAATAAGCAAAAATACAAAGACGCTGGTGCATTTACGTTGTTGTTTTGCCCAAACTTTATATACAAAAGCTTTAGAACACTACACTTTTTCCAGTTTTACAAAACATATTCTAAACTTTTGATTCATGAAAGTGTCCACCTTTGGCAGATAGAACAGCTGAACACACCCGTGGCTCGTTCTTTTTACAAAAGAAATCAAATATTCTTCAGAAAGTTCTTCCCAAGTCTGTTGCAGAAGTTCACTGTAGGTCGCTTCACTCTTCTGTCCAGTTCATCCCAAACCAGCTCGACGGGGTTTAAGTCTGGACACTGTGCTGCTGGACACTCCATGTTTTCAAGTTTTACCATCTTGTTCTTTTTTCCTGAGGTAGTTTTGGCAGAGCTTGGACTTGTGTTTTGTGTCTTTCATCTTTTTTTTTACCTCTGGCTGTTCAGTTCTTACCTTTGTACCATTTCAAGCTCTTCGTTGGACTTGAGTTAAAATAAATAACTGGAAAAATTAGGGTGTTCTAAAAGTTTTGACCTGTACTGTACATTTAAGTGAGTTTAAGTCCGTTTTATGTTAAGATCTTGTGTGTTTTGTCTGCACCGTATCCCCGACTTAACCAACAATATAACTGGTAAAACTGAGTAATATCCAAGCACAGCAACAACAACAAAAAAATGTCTGCATTTCTGTAAATTACATCAACAGAATGAAACTTTCACTGCGTTTTTATAACATGATTTGTGTTTTAGTGGTGTAAAATATTGTCATGCCATTACTGTGACGACAAAACTCCGCTGTGGTCTCTGAAAGTTGTGAAAAGCGCTTGAAAAATGCTCTTCTCTGTGAATAATTAGGCTCTTCTGAATGCATTTAAACCACTGCAAACTGTTTTAAATGAACTAGTTTTGTTTTTTACTGTTTTAAGACCCAAAAAAAATCAAGTTCAGTGACTTTAAATGGTCCCAAAACCAGATCTAAAGCAGACCTGGTTTAGACCTGGTTTTAGTCCTGGTGTAGTCCTAGTTTAGAGTTGGTTTTAGACCTGGTTTAGACCTGGTTTAGACCTGGTTTAGACCTAGTTTAGAGTTGGTTTTAGACCTGGTTTAGACCTGGTTTAGACCTGGTTTAGGCCTTAGTTTAGACCTGGTTTAGACCTGGTTTAGACCTGGTTTAGGCCTAGTTTAGGCCTAGTTTAGACCTGGTTTAGACCTGGTTTAGACCTGGTTTAGACCTGGTTTAGACCTAGTTTAGACCTTGGTTTTAGACCTGGTTTAGACCTGGTTTAGACTTGTTTTAGACCTGGTTTAGACCTGGTTTTAGACCTGGTTTAGACCTGGTTTAGACCTGGTTTAGACCTGGTTTAGACCTAGTTTAGACTTGGTTTTAGACCTGGTTTAGACCTGGTTTTAGATCTGGTTTTAGATCTGGTTTAGACCTGGTTTAGTGTCTGGCAATGAGTGGAATTACAGGGAAAAAAAGGAAAAAAAAGGAGGAGGATATATCCCAAAATGTGAAAACGGGAAAATCCCGCCGTGTAATCAATTTATTTCAACAAAGTAACTGTAATCCAATTACCACTCACTGAAACAGTAACTGTAACTGAATACAGTTACTCATAATTTGTACTCTGATTACGTAACTCTGGTACATGTAATCTGTTACTCCCCAACACTGACCATATCATATCCAAAGTCTATTTTTTTATCTTATTTTTAACACATGCCGTTCTTTTTATTATTCTTCACGAGTTTATGTTCATTGTTACATTTTCTGACACTTGTAAGTTGTGAAGCAAGTTGTGTAATTTTGTTAATTGAGAATGACAATAAAACTTTTCTGACTCTGAACTGGTTTTAAGGTCGTTGTTTGATCTTTACGTTTATCTGAATATTCCAGCAGTGACAGGTGCTTTTCATCATCCTCCTTCTATCCCTCGTGATGTCTTGTGCGCACGCGCTCGTGGGCCCGTGATGTTTGGGGCTTAGTGGGGGTGGGGGTGGAGGTAGAGGTGGGGATGGGGGTGGTGGGGGGTTTCTGGGGTGGAGAGGGGGCGAGGCAGGAGGAGATTTGAGAGAGCGCTGCGCGGCGCAGACACACTGAGGTTCAGAGGCCAAGAGGGACAGGAAGCAAAGGGAACAGCCGCGTCCAAACTAATTACTGTTTATTTCCCTTCACTGACACCACCGCGGAGAGGACTTCAGTTTTTCACTTTGGAGTTTCAGTAAAAAAAAAGAAAAGGGAAAAAAAGAGACGAGGGTTCTGTCTCTCTATTTGCGCCTTGTGCGTAAAACTACTACAACTCCATTACGCACGGAGTTTTAACCAAAGACTTCAAAACTTTTTACATTTATAACGCGTTTTACACTCCTAGGAAACTTTTTTTTTTTTTCATCTCATGGCAGTTTAGTTTTGTTTTCGTCGTTTGGACTGTACGAAACTGAACAGAGGGACGGTGCCCGGAGAGAACCGCACTGACCACGACGTGTCCTTGTGCCATGTCCCCACAGCAGAGCACTTGCCCCCGGCGGAGTATGGAGCACGGCTCGGTCCGGTGGAGGGCGCGCGGAGCTGTCCTGCATCTCCTCCTGACCCTCGCCTTCCTCACGTGCAGCTCCCAGATGCTGCTCGTGGACGCCGGCTCGTGGTGGTGAGTAATTAATGATTGTAGTGATTAATTCTCTGTGTATGTGCAAGTGGGTGAATGACATCGCGTGGAAACAAATCACTAATCTGACTGAATGTGTTTTGTGTGGTTTTATTCGAGTTTTCTAACTGTTACGCATCTTTACGCGCAATTACGCACGCGATTACGCACGCTTTTGGACTACAGAGCTGGACTTATAGGACGCATACCGCTGTTTGGTGTCGTCTCTCGTGCGCGTGCGTGTGCGTGCGCGTGGTGGGGGGTTGCTTTGCGTCACGCCGTGAGGTCCCCCTCGCCCGGCGCACAGGGCACCGGCGCTGAATGGAACAAATGTGAAGGCTCTGTCACAATATTTACCCTGGCCACTGCCCAAATGGCGTGTGGTAACCTGCTGCTCTAACCCTCATTAACCGCGCTTCAGCCAAACTTCACCAAACGCTCTGCTGGTCTCCGAGACGAGTTATGATGACTGAGGCACATGTAGCGTGTGCAAATTCAGTGTACGTCATTTTACCAGAAGATTCTCGTAGATTATTACTGACAATTCACTGTGTGCCTCGTGGTGTTTTAAGTGGGGCCATTGGAGTTGACCACTTCCTATGGCCCTTTATACTACAGGGCCATATCCTAGGAATGTGTCACCTGTCCCTCTGTTGGAGTGGAACATTTTTGGCATTTGTGAACCAAAAGTATGTACGCAAACTTAAACGTCCTATATTACACAAATTTGACGCTGTAAGTCACGTTAGAATGTTGTTATCTCACCGAAATCAGACCTGGAGTTGTGTTTTGTTTCACATGTCTGAGTAAACCTGCGTTATTATTAGGCTACGTCCCTTTTTTTTTTTTTTTTTCCAAGTCCGCACACGTGTCAGATCAATAAATATTCACATCCTCACTACAACTGAGTGAAACCGATGTAATACACAGAGGCGGCGCTACCATTTGGTAAAAGTAGGCAGCCGCTTAGAGCTCCTGAACTTGGAGGGGCCCCCCAAAAATGTTGCTGGCCATTACCACTGATGGAGTGTGGACACATGCACATCAGTATCCCGGTTATGGCAGTACTCGAGATACTGCGAATATATGTCACAGTGTCTTGGTTACTATCGGAATATACCAGCTACAGTGTCCCAGTTTCTCATGCCTTATTTGGGATACTGTGTTTACATGCACCATAACGAAACCAGGATACTCAAAAAATGCACATAAAGTCCTTCCTGCGTGGGGTTCTCTTCTGGTCATGTGACGATGACGAGGTCGAGACGTCATCGTTTTCCAAAAGCTGAGGTTCGCTTGACCACACGACAACGCAACACCGCCGTTCTCAGATTTCTCCACTCTGGAACCTGTTCTCAAAAACTTAATCGTTTAGACCAAAAAACGTTGTTGTGTGGATACCACCTAAGTCTGTTTACATCTCCAAAGTTCAAAACGCTCCGTTCCACCTTGTGATGTCATGAAGTGGTGGTTTTCAAGTCTACAGCTTTTTCCCGTTTACTTTTTGTTCAGTAGAGATTGGAAATTCCAGGTCTGAAATGATCCAAATGTTGCTTCTGAAGGCGTATGGAGTTTAGAAACACAGTGGAGCACTTCCTGTATTACCACATGACATCACAAGTTGGAACAGAGTGTTTTCTGTTTGAGAGAAGCTAAAGCATGCAAGAATTGTGTGTTTAAACATGTGTAAATTAAACAAAACAGAACTCCAGGTCTGTTTGTGACAAGAAAACAACATGAGAACATAGATCAGGGGTGTCAAACTCATTTTGGTCCGGGGGCCGTATCCAACCGTATCCCAAAGGGGCCGGATCAGAAAACTCATAAATAACAATAAGTTCAAATATTTGTACAGAGAAACACAAATCTATTACAGAAATCTTTTTTAATTGATTAACTCTTTCTTATTATAATATTATATTATTATGAACAATCTGAAACTTTAAGAAAAATTTAATTTCAACACAATGTTTTAACATGAACTTGTATGCAAATAGGAATAAGTCAGTTTTTCTTGTAAAATCCTGCACTCGGATCCACTTTTCTCATTTTTGACATTTTTCTGATGAGGGTGTCACGGTCAACAGTCAAAACGATCGTCCTTTAAGAGCGTTTGGAAAGAGACAAGTCTTCATTTGTGCTGCTCTGGTGGGAGGAGCCACGTACAGAGACGCTGGAGACGCTGCTGTGATAAACACCGCAGAAAATTATCAATATTTTAATAGAAAATATAATTAAAATATTTTAGTAGAAAATCAGCCGAGGGCCAGATTAAAGGTCTTGGGGGGCCGGATCTGGCCCCCGGGCCGTATGTTTGACACCTGTGACATAGATCATAAAATAGCGTAATATGAACCCTTTAACTCTATAAACAAAATATTACAGTTAGTTAATAAATATCTGGGGAATATTGTTAAAAAGGTTGAACAAATTCTAGATATAAAAAAGTAATAATAATACCGTATATGCAACTTTTGGAGAGTGACTGCCCCTGTCCTGGTTGTGTGTGTTTATTTTGACTAAATGTTTCTTGTGCCTCAGGTCTATGGCGATGACTTCAATCCAGCGTCCAGAAATGTACATCATCGGAGCGCAGCCTCTTTGCAGTCAACTCTCTGGTCTCTCACAGGTAAGAAACTGTGTCGTTGTTGCCTTATACGTGTGACTTTATATGAGTGGACATTACCAACCGAATGTGGGTACAGGGATTAAAGGGACAGTCCAGAATTTTGGACATAGGAGCTCATTTCCTCGTGATCCAGAGTGTTGGAGACGTGTGGAGACACTTTTTAAAATATTCCATCCAGTCCTTGTGTTTGCAGAGGTCGCTGTCAATGGTCATAGTTATTCTGCCACTAAAAACAGTTTTACCCACTCCACAAAACACCCAAAGAAAATCTATTATTACACCAGACTGTCCATGTAAATGTTTGTGTCGATAGAATAATGTTTGACGGTAAGAACGAGTAAATATTTTATCTGAGGTGCCTTTTGTTTAGACAGTGATGCTGTTTTTGGGGCTTAAAAATGCAAAAATCTGAAACCATCCTCCAGAGTGGAAAAGTTGAATACTCTCCATCGTTGTGTTTCCATCTACACTGCCCAAGACACAAAACTCCGGTCAGATCTGCTCAGGTCGAGTACATGTTTATGTCACATACAAACAGTACACAGAAACAAACATGTCGGATCATTTCCTTGCGTCTGGCAGCTCTAATAAACTTACAGGAGGCTCCCAACAAATGTAGAGAATCTGCAGAGATACTATTAGTGAACAGAGAAGGATCTGTAATCACCTCTGTCAAATTCTGGATGCACCAGGTCGTCGCAGGTGAGTCAGGACGGATCTGGACGAGACCTGGAGAACCAGTCGATGGTGGGACAAGTTTGTGGAAGGAGAAGCTGATGAAAATGTGTAGCGTGAAAACGTTCTGTATTTCCAAAGATGCTCTTGTTGCTTTAAGTACAAACATCTCCAGTTGAATTCCACACACTTTTGCGTCACCGTATGCACGCAGATTTACTCCTGAAAACGCTTGTCTAAACACAAAATAAAAAGTGAAGACGCGACGCCACTTTTGCGTCTTCTGCTCAGACCGTCATCATATAAACATGGCCTGAAATAAAACTATTCTTGCATCGCATGAATCGTCGCACGTTGAGGGACTATTTTCTCAGCAGCAGCAAAATTTTACTTTGCCGGTAAGATAGGTGCTCGGTGATATCAGTCCGCCGCTGTCGAGCTTCTATCAGGAAGTACAACTCACTGCTGCTGCTCAGACATAAATCCTTCAAATGCAAGGTTGGTTTTACTTCTAAAATTATTCTATTGACACAGACATTTACATGGACAGTCTGGTGTAATAATAGATTTTCTTCGGGTGTTTTGTGGAGTGGGTAAGACTGTTTTTAGTGGCAGGATAAACTATGACCATTGACATGCATTAGTCTAGCACCAGCGACTTCTGTAAATACAAGGACTGGATGGAATATTTTTAAAAAGTGTCTCCACACGTCTCCAACACTCTGGATCACTAGGAAATGAGGTCCTATGTCCAAAATTCTGAACTGTCCATTTATTTAACTAATCGCTGCTATTTGGTCGTGATATATTAAGCTTTTCCCAAATCTCGTAGGAAGAAGGACAATAACGTCTTTCCCCTTGATAAAATTCACCAAACATTCTCTTTGTTCCAGCTTTAAATCCTCGATCTCGGGAATCATTGCCAACACAAAATGTATGGCTCTTTGCTGATTGGCTGGTGCCCGAACTCGCACTTTTGAGTTTTTTGCGAACTGTTTAGTGTATTCCGGTTCCTGACCTAGTCGCTGGAGAGAAACGAAAATGAGCAGAGGCACTAGGTCGTGTAAATTTGGATGAGGTCCGAGATGTTTTGTGTGTCCATTCAAAGTTTTAATAACAACTAATAAATCTTTAAATCAGCTCGAAGCCGGTGCAACTACACTAAAATCGGGGTAATGTGTTCAAGTTTTTTGGCTCTAGATAAAAGTCACGCAGGAGAATTTTGGACTAACTGCAAGCAAGAAAGTTTACAGTTGCTGATTCTGGAGAAAAGTGCGTTACAGTTACAGTTGTCTAAACGAGAAGATAAAAGCGAGCATGACCTGTTCAAACGTCGCCAACATCCAAACGATTGTTATACACATTCTTTACGATCCACTGCTCTTACGTTGGCTCCTCTGTGTTCCTCTGTTGCTCCAGGGTCAGAGGAAACTGTGCCAGCTCTACCAGGACCACATGATGTACATCGGAGACGGAGCCAAAACCGGAATCAAAGAATGTCAGTACCAGTTCAGACAGAGGAGGTGGAACTGCTCCACCGTGGACAATACCTCTGTGTTTGGACGCGTCATGCAGATCGGTGAGTGCTCTGACACTTTCTACTACCCCCGAGCTTCAGTGGCGGTAAAGCTGCACTGCGTAACTTTCATGCCTTCGTAGAAATTACACAGTTTTGCTTTGTAATTTTCCACAGTTTGACATTAAACTTAGCCATCTTGCATTTGTTCAATTACAGTTTTGTTTCACCGAAAAACTTGAACAAAACTCTTCAGATTTTACTTGTAACTTGGCTTACTGGCACATCTCCGTCTCCATGGAGATAGATATGCTTGATGCCATAGTGTGGAACATTCCAGGCAATCCATAACATTCCATGGAGGCAAGCAGCGCCAACAATTAACAAGTTACACAATGCATCTTTAAGAGTTAAGACAGTTAAGAGTTAAGTCTCCAACCTTTTTCCTCTGGTGAGCTCATTTACAAAACAAAAATGCCAGAGAACTGCTCATTTTAGTGGCTGCAAAAAATTAACATCATTATAAGAAAGAGGGTGAGCCTTTGGGTGGAAACATAAACCGCTGTGCATTTATTAGTGCAAAAAGTTGGGCTTCAGACATTTACAATAATAGACATGTAATGAACCAAATTTTTGTTATTATTAAAAAAAAAAACAAAAAAAAGGAAAAAAAAAGTATTTCCCTCTTTTCTCTTTTTATTTATTTATATATATATTTTTTTTAATTTTATTTATATATTTATTTAAATATGTATGTTTTTGTTTATTCTTTTCATTTTTTTATATTTTTTATTTTATTAGTATTTTTTGGGGGGGGTAAAAAAAAAAAGGAAAAAAGTATTTCCCTCTTTTCTCTTCTTATTTATTTATTTTATTAAATTTTGATTTATTTTATTTATTTATTTATTTATTCTTTTTATTTTTTATATATTTTATTTTATTAGTATTATTATTTTTGGGGGGGTAAAAAAGAAGTCACATTATATTACTACTAATTGTTTTTCTCTGAGACATCTGCTTTATGTGCACAAAAAAAAAAAAAAAAAAGTCATCAGCACAATGGTATAATTTCAAAATCCTTTGGCGAGCTACAGGTTGAGTTAAGAGCTATTGATGGTTTTCTTTTCACATTTTTGGATGTTCTGATGTTGCTGGAGCCAATATTCCCTCATCGATTAAGTGTTTTAAAATATAAGAAATATCCAAAACTAAAATCCCCAAATATATTATATGTTTGTGTATAAATGCCAAGTTCTGTTATAGAATTATTTAACCAACCACAAGTGTGAATGTTAACTCTCATTTTAATTCAACACTTGTCACTGGGGCTGGTATCATTAAGAAGTTGCCGATACGATACATACCACGATACAATGAACTTTTGATTCAATACCATTCGATATGATATATTTAATATCGAATCGATACGGTTCAATAAAAAAAAGGCTAAATCATGGCTGTGACACTAAAAGTCTTTGTTAAACCAATTATTGTGCAAAGTTCATATAAAACACAAACATTTTAATCCTCAAAACAGAGAAAATGTCAAATGTGACACATAAACGAGTTTCCTTCCTCTAAACAAGCAACAAACTGTAGCTGTAACAAAATAATTTACTAAAACATACTAAAAAATAATCTCCGTGATCAATACAGCAGCCCATGATATCGATACTGTATAATCACATTAAACTATACAATATTTTGATATTTTTGCACATCCCTACTTGTCATATGAGCCCAGCATGTTTCAGAAGTTGAGCAAATCAAAATAAGATTGTCAATAATCATTTAAATTATTATTACAGTGTCAGAAGTTGTCTGGTGTTTGATTTTGCGCAGTGTAAAAGTGTCATAAAATAGTCAAACCACACTCTATAAATGAAGGTGCTGGATCCGCAAAAGTTGTTCTGAATGTTTAACTATTTCGTGCCACTTTTGTAATACATATTTATTTATTTATTCATTCGTTCGTTCATCTTTTGGTGAGCTTATAAAGCCTAAAGATTGGTGTAGTTTACTGAACTTAATACTAAAACTTGACTTATCTCCATGGATTGTCTCGACCAACGACTGTTTCACTGTTTGATTTCCTGACTTTCTGTTATTTAAATCGACAATTCTGTGAAATTTTGTGGCGACTGCTGCTGTGATTTTGGCCTTTACGAAAATAAATCAAACTGAATGGCATTGTGGGCTTTGTAACACTAATACAAATCAATCAAACTTTATTTATAGAGCGCTTTTCATACCAAAAAATGCAAAACAAAGCGATTTACAGTGATTAAAAACAATCCCACATTTCCTTCCACCCCCCTCCCCACAAAAGCTAAGATAAACAGTTGCGGTATGAGATTAAAATCTGTGACATAATTATCTTTTTGAACATTCTTGAGACTTCTGACAACATCTGAATCTGAATTTTTCCAGTTATTTATCGCAATTCAAGTCGTGCAAGTCCAATGAAGAGTAATAAATGGTACAAAAGTAAGAACTGAACAGACAGAGGTTTAAAAAAAGATAAAAGATACAAAACACAAGTCCAAGCTCTGCCAAAACTACCTCAGGAAAAAAGAACAAGATGGTAAAACTTGAAAACATGGACAGTCCAGCACAGTGTCCAGACTTAAACCCCATCGAGCTGGTTTGGGATGAACTGGAAAGAAAAGTGAAGCGACCTACAAGTGCCACACATTTATGGAAACTTCTGCAACAGACTCGGGAAGAACTTTCTGAAGAATATTTGATTTCTGTTGTAAAAAGAACGAGCCACGAGTGTGTTCAGCTGTTATGTCTGACAAAGGTGACTAGTTTAGAAAACGTTTTGGTCTAAAAATTGATTCCATGATGATTATTTTCAGAGATGGAACCAAGTCGTCAAATCGTTTTGCAAGTCTCAAGTAAGTCTCAAGTCTTTGACCTGAAGTCCCAAGTCAAATACAAGCAAGTCCAAGTCGAGTCTCGAGTCACTGGCCCGTAAGTCCGAGTCAAGTCCAAGTCGTCTGCTTTGAGCTTCAAGTCATTTCAAGTCTTTAAACCAAAAAAGTACCAAATATAGTTTAGATTTTTGCAATTTATACGACTTTTAAGATAAATTGTACTTTAAAAAAATCATAGTATATTTATATGCGAGTATTTATAGAGTATGTAAGAGTTGAAGAAATAAATTTAGTAATTTTTTTCTTTTTAAATGTCTTGACAAGATCTTAGTATGAATCATTACCGTCAAAATAGAAAGAATTCAGATTTAAAAGTGCTTCTCAAGTCACAGGCTTCGACCTTCAAGTCCAAGTCGAGTCACAAGTCTTAGTCCATTTTATCAAGTCAAGTCTCAAGTCATAAAAACAGTGACTCAAGTCTGACTCGAATCCAAGACACGGCTTGCAAGTCCCACCTCTTCTTATTTTTCAACTCAAATTGTTTATTTATCCTATACTTTCATGTCAGAGTGCAGTGACAAAGTGTGTGGGGTTCTGAAACTTTTGACCACTAGTGTAGAAGGAAAAGTCTAAAATAAAATAGAAATATGAGTAATAAAATATAAAATCTCGATCTCAACTCTATGACGCATTAATTCTGTCCAGCCGCGTGCGTAAATCATCGGATCACACGTTCTTAACTCGCTGATCCACCGTGCGTAATCCGTGCGTAATCCGTGCGTAATGGTCAGAGATTCGTTGGCACCCGCTGTCTGTGCGTTATGTCTAATTCCCAGCGGGCGATGTGGGAAAGCGCTCATCAACAACTACGTGTCACATCCGCTCCGGGGCCCTCAAGTCACTCGAGGTGTCACTTGGGCTCCCGGCGTCTCCTCCTCCGCTCGCGCGCGCTCGCTCTCTCTCTATTGACCGTGGCTGCGGCTGCGGGTTCGTACGGAGGTGTGAGGAGCCCCATTGTCCCCCCGGGCCCCTCTTTTGAAATGCGCTGATGAGCTGACACCGAGTCGGCAGATCCGGACCTGGTATTTGAAGTGTCCTCTCCGCGCTCATAAACCGTGTCGCGCGCTCGGCTGGTCCTTTATGCCGCTGTTGTTGGTGAATTAACGCGCGCGCGGTCATTAGGACACGGGACAGAATGGCTCGCGCGGCTCATGCATGTGTACCTACCTGCCCCGTCTGTCTGGAGAGTGTTGATTCAGGCTAATAACTCGGATTTGGGCGAAACTTACAAATTGGCGCATGCGTAATCGTGTCGCTAAACGCCGGAAAGAACTTTTACGCACGACGTTAAAGGTGCACTATGTAGGTTTTCAGGGTCTGTCATCGACTTGTCTTCACTTCATGGCATTAAACTTTTCTGTTCTTATGGGGACAAGCATATGACGCCATCAGGCCACATTACAGTTCAGATCTGTGGAGAGGCAACGCAAATCCGTGTATCATTCGTTCATTCGTTCTTCAAAATAAAACCAAAAATAAGAAAACGAAAAAACAACCAATTTTCTTCATTATTTGTCTCCAAAACCAAAATGAAAAAAGGGATAATGATTTGTTTTTTCAGTTTCCATGACTTAAACTGCAATGCCGGACTTTTGTGCCGCATGCGGACTAAGACAGGAATAAACCAGGTCTAAACCAGGTCAGTCCAGGGCCGGACTCAGACCAGGACTCAGACCAGGTAAAGATCGGGATTGAAATCGGGACTGAGACCGGTTTAGTCTTGGTTCAGTTTTGGTTTAGACCTGGTTTAGTCCTGGTTTAGACCTGGTTTAGACCTGATTTAGACCTGATTTAGACCTGATTTAGACCTGGTTTAGACCTGGTTTAGTCCTGGTTTAGACCTGATTTAGACCTGATTTAGTCCTGGCTTAGACCTGGTTCAGTCTTGGTTTAGTCCTGGTTTAGACCAGGTTCAGTCCTGGTTTAAACCTGATTTAGACCTGGTTTAGTCCCGGTTTAGTCCTGGTTTGGTCCTGGCTTAGACCTGGTTTAGTCCCGGTTTAGTCCTGGTTTGGTCCTGGCTTAGAATTGGTTCAGTCCTGGTTTGGTACTGGCTTAGACCTGGTTTAGTCCTGGTTTAGACCTGATTTAGACCTGATTTACACCTGATTTAAACCTGGTTTA